TCACTCCCCCCCCCTCACTCCTAGACTCACGTTTCAGTTTGAAATCAAGTATTATTTTTATTTGATAAATTCAGACTGAAATTAAATAGCCCATAGTATGTAAGATACTGTCTTTTATAATATAATGTTTGTATTTCTTGATATTATTAAAAATATTTTTTGCATAAGCATCATTTTGTTGAGCTTGAATTAATTCTTCAATTGAAAATGGAGTGGTGCGATTCTCTTGAATAGAATTATGTAGAGAATCTGATGTTAATTTTGTTGTATTTGAAAGTTCATTTAAAGTGTTATTTCGTAATTTCATAGCACGAGTTTCAACAGCTGCGATGATGGATGAATGTTGGTTATCATATAAAATATCAGTTTGTGTTGATTTGGAATGAAGGTGTGTGGTTTCATCAGGATCTTCTTCAGCATCTTCAACAGGAGATCTTGATAAATAATCGGGCATAGAATTTGTTAAACCTGGAACGTATTTCACCTTGAAATCATATTCTAAAATTTTTAATCTCCATCTTTCGCATCGTTTGTTAATTTGAGCTTTTTGGTTTAATTGTGTTAATGCTTTGTGATCAGTTTCCCAAGTAAATTTAATTCCACTTAAATAATTATGCCATTTATCTAATGCACATATAAATGCGTAACATTCTTGTTCCATTGGAGACCATTTGCGTTGTGCTTGTGTAAATTTCTTCGAAAGATATGCAATTGGTCTATCACCATCTGGATATATTTGTAATAATACTGCACCGATTCCCTCCTCCGAAGCATCTGTTTGAACCTTGAAAGGGAATCTATTGTTCGGTAATCGTAACACTAAGTCAGTTGTAAGAAATTGTTTAAGTTGTTCGAATGCTTTAAGTTCATCTTGCGTTAATGTAATCATTGTTTTTTGTCCTTTCTTTTGTTGAGTTCTTGTAGTTGGAACAAATTTCCTAAGTGGTTCAGCGATTTGAGAAAAATTGGGAATAAATTTGCGATAATATTCAGCTGCTTTAACAAATTTACAAGCTTCATCTGCAGTTTGTGGTAATCTGGTATTCAATAAACCATTAATATTATGAGAACTTGGACGAATTTCACCATTCTTTATATTATGTCCAAGATAATCTGTTTCAGTTTGAGCAATTTCACATTTGTCTGGATTCAGACGAAATCGAGCATTTTTTAATATTGTACAAATATCATTAAGGTGTATTAAATGTTCTTCAAATGTTTTCGAAAAAATAATAACATCATCGATATATGCTAATGCATATTTCCATCTCGCAGGCCCTAATATATGATTTATTACACGTTGAAATGTTGCTGGTCCATTTGTAATTCCTTGAGGTAATACAGTAAATTGATAATGGTTGTCACGAGTTGAAAATGCAGTTTTAGGTCGGTCCTCTTTAGATAGAGGTACCTGGAAATAACCAGATTTAAAATCAAATTTTGTGTAATATATTGCATCGGATAATTGATCAAAAATTTCATCAATACGGGGTAATGGAAATGCATCTTTAATTGTAATAGTATTTAATCGTCGATAATCAATGCAAAATCGCATTGTTTTGTCTTTTTTCTTAACAAGAACAATAGGTGATGACCATGGAGAAGTTGATTCTTCAATTTGACCACGTTCTAATAATTTTTGTGTTTCTTGCAATTTAATATCTTGATCTTTGAAAGAAGACGAATATTGTTTTGAGTAAATAGGTGGATGATCACCTGTCTTGATTGCTGATTGTGGTGGAATGTTAATAATGGATGGTGTAGGATCGAATAGAATTTTATTATGCCATAATATATCTTCAATTTTCGAACGGTTTTTTTCATTTCCTATATGTTTTGTTAAATCGAATATTTTTTGACGAATTTCATCAGAGTAGCATTTTGCTCGTAAATGTTTTTGTAAATCATTACCAGATAGAAAATATTCATTGCAATTATCACAAATAATATCTAATTTGTCTTCTTCCGAGTTGTCATTTTTATTTGTGACAGCTCTATATTTTAATTTGCTTGAATTACTGGATGTTGATTGATTATATTTATTGAAAGATGAATTTTGTTTTGTTGGATTTGATGTACTAAAACATATTGTGTAAGTTGAGGGAGGAGAAAGGGTTCCGATTCGTGTATTTCTTGGTAATATTGTTTGTTGATTCTGAGCATTGATTAGTAATATTTTAGCTTTATGATTGTTGATATTTAATAATGTATGTGGTATAAAAATAAATTTTGAGGCATAGTTTGAATATGGTTCAAATATCAGATTATTATCATTGTTAATTTCACATGAAATATCAACTAATAGTTGTGAGTATGGTGGCAGAGTAATTTGATCAATTAATAATGCTGGATAGTTAATAGATATAGGTGCTACGTATGAAATCGATATTAATTGATCATGTTGATCAGGAATAGTCAATTGTTGTTGATCACCAAATAGATGAACATGATTTGAATTAATCCAGTCATTACCTAATAATACGGATGTAATTAAATTTGTTGCCACATGAGCAATGACGTATGTTGTTGTTGATTTAAGTCTTAGTTCTAATTTAATTTGACCGATTATATTAAGTGGTGTTGAATTTGCTGTTTGACATATATAATTGTTATAAATAAAATGTTCATGATGAATAGTTTTGAGAAAATTTGCATGAATGATTGAGATGGCGGAACCGGTATCAACAATTGCTTCAGTTGGTTGATTGTTAACACGAATCTTGATATAAACGGGAGAAGATGTTGTTGTTGATGGCTGAATACATTGACTGGGAACACCGCTATCATGTGACCCAGTTATTGAAAATGTGGAGACATTGTACAACTTCGGATATGATGATTTTGACCACAATTAAAACATCCGGTTGTACGTTTGTAGTAACAATCATGCGATCGGTGATTTCTTCGACCACAAACTTTACAATAATCATGTTGTTGTTGTGAGGCTGGTTGATTATTAGTATATTTATTCGTGAATATCTTTTCTTGTGAATTAGTATAAATTTGTTTGTCAGGTACATATGTTGATTGAAGTGCTGGTTGGTAGTTCGAGTTCCGATTAATAACGGAGCTCTGTGTGGGTAATGTATGTGATAAAAATTTGTTTTGTTTCATAAATTGAAGTTGTTGTCTAGGCTGTTTAACTGTGGTTGTAACTGAAGTAAATGGTCGATAATTATTTAAAACATTTTGTTGTGTATATTCGAATGATAATTGTTGAGATTTATCAAATGTATCTTGTAAATCTTGTTCAATTTTGGCATATTTTAAAAATTCATTTAAGTTATATAAACATGATTCATGCCGAGAAATTTCTTTTTTAAAATCAGGATTAATACCACTCATCAGATGTTGAATGATAATTGAATCTGACATAGTTGGATCAATTTCACGACATAAATTAATGACATCATCAATATAAGCAGTAACAGGTTCATTATGTAATTGTTTTCGTTGCTTTAATTGATCAAACTTTTTATGGATCATTGTTGTTGAGAAATAACGATTTCGAAATTGGACTTCGAAATCTGACCATTTTTTAAAATTATGTTCATTGTTATCAAACCATAAGCCTGCTGATTGAGTTAATTTACCACGTACAATTTCAAGAATTTCTTTATTTTCTGATTCAGCATTGGCTTTGGTAATATTTTTAATGCATTTTAAAAATCGTTCGACATCCTCAGAAGGATGTCCTGAAAAATTTGGTAAATCATCAAATCGAGCTTTTCGAGCTTTTGCTAATAATGTTTGATCAGCCATTGTATGTGTATTAAATGTTTGATTAACAATTGAATTAGTTGTTGCAATTATATGAGATGATGAATTAGTAATAATGGTATATGGTAATAATTTTTTATTATATTTTTTAACTTGAGATCTTGTACCGGTAGCCGTGACGGAAATATATGATATTAATATAAATGATATTTTGTTTTGATGCAACTGAGAATCGTCTTTTTCGTCTTTTATTTATATATATATATATGTATAGATAGATGAATAAATGAATCGAAATTCTTCTCAGAATCTCTGCTATATTATTATATTAATCTTTCTTATTTTGAAATGAATAATAACGATTTAAGTTCGTTTGGTTTACGATATTCTTTCCCGAAACAATCCTTAGTTGAGATAATAATTAAAAACTTTTTTTTTTTTTAAATCCAAAAAAAAATTTATGCAAAACTATTCCGTATAGTTGCAAATTGTTTATTAATTAGAGAGATTGTTTTACCTAATAGTAAATATCAAGTTTTCGTACCTATTGAACAATATTATTTTGAATTTAGCTTTTCTCGAGTCTTTGTTCAGTTTCAAAGGCTCTCAGTCAAAATCAATACAAGTCTCTTTCAAATAGAGGCTTTATAAAATTCAATGATAATTTAATTAATATCAATAATAATTAATTTATTTTTATTTTGTTTTTTGTAATTTCTTATGATGTTGTTTCACCAGGGTCGCCAAATGTTAGGTCTTTATGTAAGATGTTAATATGTACTGATCGAAATGTACTTAACTTTTATTCTATATAACCAGGTTCGAATATCCTTATATATATATCGAACAGAAAACACATATATATAAGAGAACGAAAGTAAACAAAGATAACAAATGAAAATCATAGAACGATGGAAGAGATCAAAGAGGAGGAATATACTAGAGAAATATGTATAGGTGCGACATCACCGTAACAATCAGACTAGTTTCTAATTTCGAAATCCTTATAGAAATGCCTGATGCTTAAACGTTTTACAACATAACATTCAAACGAAAATAATAAAAAATTAACATCGTCATTACTCTAACAGTTAAAGAAATTTGCCTATTTTTTAATTCATTTTTATCAGAGACTGGAAGTGTACAAGGACACTAAGTACGCATGTACTTAAGTCGATGCCTACTCAGTACGAGTACTAAGTACGGATTTACTCGAGTACACTACTGAAGGACAACCGAAAATCAGAGTTGCTGCCGGTCTACAATTTTTCAACCGATCCGATCCGGTCTGTCGCTAGTCAGCTCAACAAATTTTTGAAGCCCTCAAAAACTGACGGATTCATTAGTTTATTTTCAACAATTTAAGGCGATGTTTACACAAAATACTTTTCTTTACGTTTTTGCTTGGTTATTTACAAATTCTTGAGGAAAAAGATCATATTTCAGTGTCTCAGTCTGTAAGCTCTTCGGAAGTTTTACAACTGACATTTTCTAACGAGATACAAGGTATTACATTCTAGACAGCTGGTACTGAAGTTGAGTTCTCAATTTTTTTTGCTCATTGTATATGGAAGAAGTTACTGCTTTTTTTTATATAAAAAGCTAAAGTTTAGCATGAACTCTGATAAAGGCTTATACATTAAATCAACAGGTCTAGTTTATATAACAGTTTTGATTATTCTTAGTAAGAAATTAAAAGACCAGTATGATGAGAGATAAAACCAGTGAGGACTAAGGAAAAATAAGCAAATGATATTTTGAAACAGACGTGCTATTTTCTTGTGATAAAAGTCTAAAACTTTGTTATGAGGACGTTTTATGAAGGGAAAATATATGTATTTTCACAATTTTTGAAAATCGGTAAAACCGATACGAACCGGCAGATCCAACTGTTTTGGCTCATTCTGTAAAAACAGATTACCAAATTTGATACGCAGTAATAACATCTTAAATAAAATGCAAGTCGAATAGTGCAAGCACGTCCCACAACAATATTTACTCAAGATCCTCGATATTTACGACCAGTATTGAAATACATTATTCTTCGTATCACTATTGAAATACTCAGAATTGTACTAGCATCAGTACTTAACCACATTGGTAGTGAGTAGCGATACTATGTACGCATCTACTAGATACATTTCTGCTCAGTATCTGCACTTAAGTACACTTTTTCAGTAGAAGTAAATTTACTTGTACTACACCCACGGACATAGCATTGGAAATTCTTCAGCGAAAAGCACTAAAAATAATAAGTAATCTACTGAGCATCCAGTCGCTATTTTTTGTATATAAAAGAAACATAAATCAAGTATTCCACGCAACAAACATTGCAAATAAACGGAAACCGATGAACGTCTTGTACTTTTTCTCTGCATAATTCGTACGTATGAAACGGTAAGTATTATAAGTAGGAATGCAAGAGTAACAATAACCATAGGTATGGCTACCGGCCCAAGCTATTTTCTATGAAGAAAAGGGTCTTTCGAGGAAACAACGACATCTGATAAAGGTTGATGAAAGTTACCCGGGGTCGAGAAGTCCGGATCTGCAATCAGTTTCCAAAAACTCTAAGTAAATTTTTCCATCAGAAATTTCTTTTTTCTAAAATGATCTTGCTTATTTTAGAAAACTATTTTGTAAAAAAAAAATGTTTTTTAAAAAAAAATCAACGTTTTCAGAAAAAAACCGTGTAAAGAAAAGCAAACTGAGAATTTCGAAAAAACCGACTAAAAAATCGGATGCTCCGATCCCGATTTTCTTTCGTCAACCTTTATAATGTATCGTTATTTTCTCAATTAAAAGATCGTTTCTGATTGACGGGTATCCCAGTCAATGGAAAGGTCGGATATAAAATCTGACCTCAAAGTCGGATTCCCCCGCCTGAATTACCTTCAGTGAAACTTTAGAAGCTACACCTAAAATCAACTTCATCTCTGATGTTTTTTTGACCTCACCACAAACATATAGACACAACCACAAACTCTTTTTACTTTTTTTCACATGACACTCCCTACAGTCGAGGAGATTAAAAGAATGATAAAGTGAGAAAATAGCTTGCTCAAGGCTATTTCCAATCAAACTATTTCATAAATAATTTGTAAAAATACTACTTCGTCGAACCCGTCACTATGCTTTGATCTTAGTTTTCCTGGAAAAAAAAGCGGTACTATCACCTTCGATTCTTAATACTGTAACAATTTTAGACCATTGAATGAAGAGGTCCAATGAATAGAGCTTTAGTCTTTTACGTGTTACTTTCATTTCATTTGTGAGAAGCTGTCGCCATTTTTCACGTCAGTGAAGAACAAGAAAAAAAATGTGCCTTGACACTACATTGCAAAACAACATTCATTATTTTTTTTCCTTACATTGCTCGCAATCAGAAAAATATAATTTTCTTTTCTTCTGTTTCTACATAGTAACAAAATTACATTTTTATTGTGCAATGTGCACGTTTTTCTCTTTATTTTACCATCTATCGAACAAAAATCAACTGCAATTATTTGTTCGAGATTGCGATTAATCGCAGAACAGGCAAGTTTTATGTCTTTTATATCAGCTCCTAAAATTGATCATATAATTATCCACTACTCATTCTCAATTAGCTAAATAATTTATAGATCACTCGTAAATTACATCCATACCGATAAGTGCAAACAAGCTTTTAATTGCGTTTCTATACCCATCATTAGTCAGGAAAATCGTTCTTTTTTTTTGATTGAAAATCTTATAATCGTATAAATGTCGATAAACAAAAATAGAGAAGCTCGAAAAAATAAATATCAATGCAAAAGGAAACATAGTAAAAAGGATCGAATAATCTTCATATTGTGATCCTTTCGATTGTAATAATAAGTTTCTTTTGCTCAAAAGGTAAAGTTCAGGCACATAGACATTTTTTTGGATCTCGATTTTCATTTTATTACGCACAAAACAAATCGCTAAAAATACTTTTGAGCTCATTTTTCTTTACAAAACGACTATAAATTGTGCCTAACGAACGTAGACATCGTCTACAGAGGAAGGTACAAGAAGACTTAAGTATTTTACAGAATTTATCTTGTAAGTACACAATTAATACGCAATAAGTCTTTCAAAAGTGTTTGATTAGAAGTTGCATCATGTCGAGCTCTATAGAATATTCAATTGTCATCCATATCTAAGTTCCTTTTTTCAATATTCTTAGAAGAATACTACTGAGCTTCTATGATCTTGATGGATAATCAGGAAGTTGTTGTGAATTATTCGGTCTCATATTCAAATAGCTATTCTAATTTTGTAGTCTATGTTTAAAAATCCGAGTAAAACGAAAAACCGATAGTCTGTTTATTTTAGTCTGAATTCTTCAATATTTCCATCGACGAACCTACGAAGGTCCGTGAACATTGACAATTAACAATCGACTCTCGATTGAAATATGGAGCAGATTAGGTCAAAATAAACATATTCTATACTATTTTGAGTGCACTTCGAAGTAGTTTAGTATCGACAGCATTTGAGTCAGTATCCCAATAAGTCTTAATATATAATGAACTCTTTGTTTGAAGCATCCAAATTTTTGTGTTCATGAATTGCTCGATTGATGCATAATCCAATTGAAAAAAGTTTTTTATTTATTTCAGTCAGTCTTACTTTCGTTGTCATCATTGCAATATCGTATACACGCACAGAACTGGCTAAACAAAAGCATATTTTACAATAATTCATTAAAAGTTGTATCGACAACAAAAATTGCCGACAAAACTAGATGATACAAGAAAATAACTATCGAAATATGATTCTAGAAGAAAAGATCACTCAATGCGAACCTTATTGGGTGGATTTGCACAACATGAATGTTACCGATAGAGATATACCTATGATCATTCAACGAGCTATTCGAATGAAAGAGTGCAGTGTCCTTATTTTGGACAACAATAATATAACATCAGACGGTGTGAGAATGCTCGTTGATGAACTCAAAACCAACAAAACTTTAGAGTGTCTCTGCATCGCTGAAAACCCTCTTGAGGATGAGACAATTTATTATTTGGCTCAAC